ACTGAAGATCTGGCACAAGTAGCTAGCACTAGGACTGAAGCAGGTGTTGATGCTAACTTTGATGTTTAATCCAACATCTTGGAGGTTTAAAGTTGAGAGCAAGAGAGCTCTCACAGAAGCAGGAGGATAAAGGGAATCTCAGTTCTTCCAGAAGATCAGACAGAACAAAGCATCCTGAAATTCAGGACTAACCTGAATCTTTCTGTAGTGCTCAGTTTTACAGAACAAACACATCCTGCTGGAAAAGCAGCAGCAGTATGTCATGTAGATAAGCTGGAGTGTTCTAGCCTTCGCTTGAAACTGTCAAGTGTCATCTAAGTGAGTTAGTCCTACGGCCTAATGCTTTTCAGAGATCAGCAGAAGAGCTCTGCAGAAAGCCATCTGTGTTTGGCTTTTGGCCCCTTTTTGAGCTTGTGTGAAAGAGCAGTCTACGCTACGTGTTGGGTTTTTTGATTTCTGTGAACTCCACCACTCATTGGTCATGGAAGATAATCCTGAAAGTTGTATGCTGGAAATGTCAGCTGAGATGATGTCTCAAATCAAGTGAGACTGGGCTTTGCTTGTGTTAGCACTGTGTGAAATGATTTGGGTTCCTGAATTTGACACAGGCATCCTAGTCCTCTCCAATACTTATTCCAGTCTCACTGCATGTAACGCTCCCTCTGTATATTCTGCAACTGCATCTGGACCTAGGGTGGTTGCAGCTGATGGATTTGCTGAGCAGGACTACCAGGTTTTTAGACAGAAAGCCTTACATCAAAAAAGGTGTTCTGTCTTAAAGTGATAGTCCATGTGGACCTCAGAAGCGCAGGTGAATGGTTTATTCTGGATATCTGTGGAGCTGTACTGCCCTGCCTTTTGTTCTTAGCCCATGCACTCAGCACATGTAGCATGAGAGTCTGGCACCACTTCAGCTTCTGTTGATTGTCTGGTGAGGTGGAGCTGTGTTGTTATGAGATTCTTCTGTGATGTAATTTTGTTCAGTTCTTCTGCATTTTCTTTTGATATCGGCTACCGAATTCCTCATATACCTCCTTTGTTCTGCACTTTCATGTGCTGAGACTATTATTCTTTAGCTTCCTGAAACTAAACTTCTGAATTTTTGACCTGCAAGTGTCAGACTGGATTTTCACAGCCAGGGCTTGATTCCCCTTGGCTGAGGGGCCCCTTCCAAGTCACTGTTTGTTGCTTACTCCAGTAATTCTTCCTGAAACGGATGATTACTTCATCTTCCTCTCCTAGTCACCACAGATATCAAGAATCAGCTCCTTTCTGCCCATATGTTCTTCTCTATCCAACAAAAATGCCCTAGATCAAATCACATATTTTGGCTGAACAACACAGAGCTGCACCGTGCTTGTGCATGAGTTGCACTGGTAACCATGACAAGCCAGAGGCTGGGACTGGTATAGAGATGTAGGGCCAAACCTCTTCAGGTGTCTTTACAAGTCTGTGTGGTTGCACTCTGGTTGTCTGTCTGGTTGTCTGGACCAGTGCAGCTCGCTCTTGCTGTGGGGCATTTCTCCTCTTAGATGTGGAGGCTTAGCACAGCTATGACCAGATACTAATGTTTCCATGCTGATAGCATCTTGGCTTTGCAGCAGCCACAGGGCTGCTGCGCTTTCCAGCGATTGCTGCTGCATTCCTCACCGAGCTACTGGCTATGAGTCTCTGATCCTGCCTATACTTGCTGTGTGGGTTGCTTTTTAGTCCTGCGCATTGTAGGACTTTCCAATGAGCGGACTTAGGAGAGGTAACTCTTGGACGAGGTGTCATCACTGCAGCGTCTGTACCCCAGTCTCCAGGGAAATTGAAGGGAGTTCCTCTATCTGCTTAGCTTCCCTGTTTTTTTGTGATGTATTCCTGTCCAAGTCAGTTCAGGCAGTCAGAACAACTAAAGCAATGGGGAATGGGCTTTCTTATGGCTCTGCCGTTTCACACCAATCATCTTCTCATCTGTCCTGTGGTTTCAAGCAATGTTATTCTGCCTCTGCTGTTTTCTTTTCCCTTTCATTTTGTGACAGGTTTTCTGAGTCTAGCAGTGGTCATATCGGCTATCTAGCTCATCTTTGCTGTAGCCAGGGGTTATTGCACCCAGCTCATAATTTCCATTACCCACAGCCCTCTTTACTCACTGGGGTATTGAGAGAAATGTCTGGTTCGTTAAATTGGAACGGGAGGTGTCAGCACCTTTACCTGAGAGATTTGTTGTGAAAACGCCTATCAAGGGATGAGGATGTGCTAGTCCTTGCATGCTACCTCTTGGCTTTCCCAAAGTGTGGGTTTTAGGGTGAACAGTCAGGTATTATCTCTGTTATTCCTCGACTCTGTTGTGGTAACGTTGAACTTAGTACTGGTCAGAATCTGCCTGTCTTTTGAGAAACCAGCTGTGGATATGCTGCATGCTTTTATTCCATCCTATTCAGCTGTGCTTAGAGATGGCTATGTTAACATCTGACACCTAATGCTAGACTATACCAGTCAGACTCCTAGATCTGGATGCATAGCCAGCATGGTGTGTCATCCTCAAGAGCGAGCAGTCTGGGAATATGATGTTCCATGCTGTGGTGATGGACTTCACCAATATTTGAAGGGAGTGCTTTTCGATTTGGGTGAGGAGGAAGTTGAACCTTGACAGGCAAACAACTTTAGGGATGAGGAACTCTAAAACAGCCTTAGAGCCTGAGGACTTGACTTCCAGAATAGCACAAGCTGTGCATCATCCTTGAAGCCATGGAGAATGACTACAATATGTTTTGTCTTTGTTTTTTGGCTGGTCAGATCCAGGACTTGACAAATGATAACTTTATACACTGCATAATCGGAGATGTGAGCTACTCTGCTCTTGCAAGGGGTAAATTTTGGAAGTCAGAGCATTAGGAATCAGCAACATAAGAGGACACTTCAGGTGAAAAGTATCAAATGTCCTAGCAGACGGGCTAAGCCATTTGACATTGTTAGGAATCGAGACCTTCAGACCTGGAGCTGTTGGTGTCAGTCCTAAGTAGATTTGGGAGCCCAGCTATCTCTACATAAAACTGCCAAACTGGATGATAGGGTATGCCAGGACCTCTTAAGAGCCTGGAAAGTGAGAACTCTTTGGTCATCAGTCAGGTTACTTGAGCAGTCTTACTGAGGAATTTCTTTAGTCCTCATGTCTGCCTGGTGTCTAACCTGGAACTTCCTCCAAACTTTGTCAGGGCCTGTGCTGTTGGATAAGCATCTAGGGTGATTACGGCACTTGATAGCTGTCCTCCTTAGCTGCTGTTTGGGATGGACTCCAAGACCAGTCTCTAGGAAGTTCTGACAGGAGCAGAGGGGTTGTTAATCAGTAACCTGACAGAGTTGAGGAGATGTTGGAAATAGTCATTAGTAAGCATACAAACACATACATTCTGTCCTACTTCCTTTCTGGCTCTCTTCATCTCTCCAGGACTGAGAAAGGTGAAATGATGCTGTGTGTTCTGCTGTATCACTGCAGATATACTGCTGTATACTGCTGACCTCACTGATCTAGGCTTCAGCTTGCCTACTCTGGGATAAAACATACCTGGTTTGGAGGGTTGAGTCTGGCTTAGGAGGTACCAAGGCTGATGGTTCCTCAATTCATAACAGGATTGCTTCTTTGGAGTCAGAGTTCTCCCCTTGCAGCAGTCCAAGAGCAGGATTGCTACCTGTTTTCCAGGCTCTGAGAGAAATCCTGAAATCATTTCCTCTTGGAGAAAAGCTTTCAGGAAGCAGAGGAAGCATATGCATGTATTTGTGCTGTGAGCCTCTGCTAGAGCAATCCTGGAAGCAGCTTCTCATATCCGAGTTTAGATCTCTGCTTTAAAGATCGCCTATTAGGTCTATGCTAAATAAAGCCCATATTGATGTGGGGATTAGCAGATGATACTTGAGTATATCGCAGATATGTAAACTTGCAGTGATTTAGTCTATTCTGCTCCTGGGATGGACAGGCCCTCTGCCTGCTTTTGTAAGCCCAAAGTGGGCAATATGTGCCTGTTTTGGGAGCAGCCCAGCAGGTCAGCCTGCCCTGCTGTTGTGAAGCCCCAGGATCTCTGTTAGACAGGGCAGGAATCAATGGGATTTCCCCTCCCATACAGTCTGATTCTTGGCTCTCTTGGGAAGGTCTGATGTGCAATTGTACAACACAGTTGGAACAAACTAAAATAGATAGAGGCTGTACTCAGAGGACTGGGAGCCACAGAGACTCGTTGTTTGTGGTTGTAAGTGGGACTGGACTTGCTCTAAGAATTCAGAGTTGCTTCTCTCTCAGCAGCCCAGAAAAAGGGAATTGATTGAAGAAGCTGTGAATGTCTAGCCTTGAGGAAGCCCAGTCTTGTGCATTCCTGTAACCTGTACCCTGTAATGGGTAGATGGTGTGGGATGCAGCATGCACATAGCTTGTGCCACTTTGATTTTGGGGTCCATATTGCTGGCCACAAAATCAAGTCTATGTACCTCAGCTAATATCAAAAACTGGAACAGAAAGTAGACCTGGCTTGAAAAGCCAGGCTCGTGGGTCAGAGAAGCAGAAGCATCTGTCATGCATCAAGGTGGCAGCTTTCAAGCATCAAAGATTGTTTGGGGCCTTCATACCAGCTAATTAGCATTTAAACTCACTGATGTCCCAGCCTGAATTCAGATTTCCTTGAAAGGTCACCTAACACTACTGTACTGTCTCAGCATCAGTTGTATCTGTTCTGGTGCCTTCTCCTTCCTTGTGGCAATCTTGGGATGCTGTGGCTCCAGAAGCAGCAGAAGTATGGCTGTGTGCATGGAAAAGACTCAGTCTTGTTTCTGGAGAGAGGTGGTACGCTAGAGAAAGAACTGAGAAGCTCTTGCTCCCTTTACCGGTAGTGTTAACTATTTTGCTTAAATCAAAGAGCTGAAACAAGAGGCGGTCCTCTGTCCATTGAAGGGAGGTCTGCGTGTGTTAGCTAGCTGGCTTGGATATCGTAATTAATGTGCTGATTTGGTTTCCTTTGTTTAATCAGGTTCCGAAGATTCCTAGGATGAGGCTGCTGTGAGGGACTTGCGGATCCCCTGCGTGCTCTGCGGTGCCTGCAGATTCCCTGTGGTTCCCTTTCCAGGTGGAATACCGAAGTCGCCAGGCAGAATGACAGTTGGATATGTACTGCCACCCCCTTTCCAGGGGAGGACTTTGCTCTCCGTGCTGCTGCTGGCAGCCGCTGTTCACTGCCACTGGCCCAGTGAGCCATCGGAAGTGGTACGGGACTGGGAAAACCAGCTGGAGGCCTCCATGCACTCTGTGCTCTCAGACCTCCGAGAGACTGTCCCAGCTGTGGTGGGTATACCAGACAGTTCTGCTGTTGTGGGCCGTTTCTTCAGAGTCTCCATCCCAATGGATTTAATTGCTTCCAATGGCGAAATAGTCCAGGTGAGAAATGTCATTCCCTAAGACTCATTTTCAGTGCCCTATCTGCAGTTGTATTCTTGCAGGAACTAAGCTAGTCCCCCCACTAATCAGATGGGTCACAAGGGTTGCTATGAGGGGGGCTTGAGGTTTATTTAGGACTATGGAAAAGGGCTTAAAGAAAATCAGTTTTCTCACCTCATTGCAAAGTTCCTTTCCTCCGCAGGAGAGTGGAGACCTCTTTCCTAGGTGGTGATTGATCTGGTTTGCTGGCCGTGTTTACACTGTGAAGTATCCAGCCCCTGGAATGATGGGCACATTGGCATGACAAGGAGATGTTGCCCCGGGATCTGGGGAAGCAACAAATTTCACTGGAACTGCTGCTCTGGCGCTCAGGGTGTTTGCCTCACTATGGTAACAAAATATTGTTAGATTTGTTCTGTGAATAGGGCTCTGGACTGCCTTTGACTCAGTCTCTCCTGACCTCATACCTAGGTCCTCTTGGGAAAGATGAGGACCTTTCTCTTTATCTGACCTACCCTCAGGCTGCTGGTACTGCAGACACCTGAAAACTGAGTTTTGGGGATCAGTCTGGATGGCAAGAAAATGTCAGACTAGCCTGGAAGGAAGGTAGAGACACCACTGCTTGCCTAGGTCATGGAGAGCTCAGAACATTCTGGCTTTAGAAGGAAAGGTCGAGGGAAGTGATCCTGCCCCTCTACTCAGCCCTGGGGAGGCCTCACCTGGAGTACTGTGTCCAGTTCTGGGCTCCCCAGTACAAGAGAGACATGGCACTCCTGGAGAGAGTCCAGCGGAGGGCTACAAAGATGATTAGAGGGCTGGAGCACCTCTCCTAGGAAGAAAGACTGCGAGAGCTGGGCCTGTTCAGCCTGGAGAAGAGAAGATTGAGAGGGGATCTCATCAACGTGTACAAGTATCTGAAGGGAGGGTGTCGAGAGGATGGGGCCAGACTCTTCTCCGTGGTGCCCAGTGATGGGACAAGAGGCAACGGGCAGAAACTGAAACGCAGGAAGTTCCATCTGAGCATGAGGAAAAACTTCTTGCCTGTGAGGGTGACAGAGCACTGGAACAGGTTGCGCAGCGAGGTAGCGGAGTCTCCTTCCCTGGAGATATTCAAAACCCACCTGGACGCGATCCTGTGCGATGTGCTCTAGGTGACCTGACTTGATCAGGGAGGTTGGACTAGATGATCTCCAGAGGTCCCTTCCAACCTAAACGATTCTGTGATTCTGTGAAAAAGAAAATCTTCCAGTCCTGGAAAACTTTTCCAGAGAGCAGAATTCAAAATTATTTTTAAAAATCCATTTTTTGAAAACATTTAAAAAAAAAAAAAAAAGCCTTTGTGTTTTACAAGCTCAGAGGGAGATGGAGAGCAAGTGGGGAGAAAGTTTGACATCTCTGCTTCTCCTTGAAGGCATGTTTGTTTTAGTTCTGTCTGCAGTCATATGTAATTGTCTCAGTTCAGATACATGATCTCACGGTCTCCAGTGAGGGCGTCAGGACTATGATGTGCCCATGGTAGACAGAAAATCTAAGGAATGCATCTGTTGGCAATAGACTCTGTCACGTGGGGAAGAGGAGGACAGTGGCTGCGCCCTCAGGTTAGAGGAGTCTGAGAAGGAGATAGGCAGGCTGGTTTCACAGTAAAGGCTGTGATGTTTAATTTACTCTGAAGCTAGTGAGACTGTTTTGGAAGGAAGGCGGTGGTGGCTGCCCTCCATGACCATTGTCAGCTGAGGAGTACATGCCTGTTTTCTCCATACTGGATGCCTGTATGCCGTTTGGCTGCAAGAGTCCAGATAGATACGGTGAGTATCACGCAGCCAGGCAGCGAATAGTGTCCTTGAAGGGAGCAGACCCTTCAGCTTTAATCTGTAGGAGCAAGAGAGTTGCTCAAGGACACTGCACCGTCAGGTCCTGCCCCTGCTCCATGGATCTTTATGAGCTGTGCTGCCACTAGGACTGGGGGAGCTTACCCTTCACTTTGAATTCCCTTGTGTTTTGAAAGGTGTTATCAAGATCTTGTGTTACTGAAACAATATCTTTGGTTTGGAATTTTGTATTGGAGTGGCTTGCTTTGGTGTCCTCTAATGGCTCCTTTGATGGCAAGAAACTGTTTTTAGAGTTACTGTAATACCACAGCTTCCTCTGTCTCCTCTTCCTGGCAAAACTGTCATCCTTGATAGCTCCAGTAGCTAAAGGAAAACTCCGATACGTTATTTCAATGCCATCTGATAGCTTACCACAAAACTTCTGCAACTTTGGCGTTGAGGCATGTTTGCTAATATCAACAGGTGCTCCAAGAGCTGCAACTGGGCTATGCTGGAGACAGACTGAAAGAACAGTTGTTGGTTGTATGTAGTTCAGCGAAGGCTGGGAGCAATTTTCATGCTTATCTGTGGGCTTGCCCTAATACATGTTGCATCTGTTTACCTTGAAATTGATTTAAAAAGTGACGCAGGCTCCAGGGCACTTTTATCAGCCTTGCTTAACCGGTGGATCTAGAAGGTGTCTCCCTTGCAGAGAATGCGGCGTTGGCTGCTGAGTGTAGCCAACCATTTCTACGGGAATTTGATTCCTGGCTAATGAGAACTGTGTAGGCAGTTCTGGAGTCCTGGGATGGATTTTTGCTTTACCAGAAAGTTTTAGGGCAAGTTGCTCTGGTCTTTTTTCTTTGGCTGCTTTCTGTATCTCAGCCAGAGTGAGCTACTCAGCAGTATAAAACCTTCCTTTTGGATCTTGCTAACCAGTGTACATAAACCCTAATAAGAGTAAGGGCTGTCCCCTTTGAGCAGAAGCAATAGGTCAAACCTTAGAATGAGATGTGGTTGCCTATACTCAGTCGTCTTAGATATCTAAGAAATTGGGAGTGATCTCATTAAAAATAATAATTTTAAAAAAGTTGATGGTTGTCCCCAGCTACCAAACTCTGAGAAACTCCCCATCTGGAGCCTGAAGAAAATGTGATTGCTTCATTTCTAGATAATTCCCATTGATTATTTCCAGGCTTGGTTTGTATTGTGGTTGGGCTTGCCTCGAATCTGACTCTCAGATCCTCTCCCGGCTTGTTAGCAGATTCCAGCTGACTGTAGACAAAATATTTTGCTGTGCAGACTCGGTCGTGGGATGGTAGCAACGCCAAGCACTTGCAGCTTTGTGGAGGAGTGCCCTCGCAGGCTTGCACTCCTGCCTGCGGGATGTGGGCTCTGCGTGTAATCACGTACATGCACCTGGGAACAGAGGTGCAAGTGTTTCCCTGACCCTCCTAATCCATTTAAGAACAGATGAGACTTTATGGTTGAGTACAAAAACAAGTTTATTCCAATGCGCTCAGGCAGCTAGTCAAAATGCAAAGATGGACACACAGAAAAGAGGTAAAAGAGTAGTAACTACCTCCTAGCTTAGCTTCGGAATCTCTTCTGCTTTACTTAAAGCTAAGTGACAGCATGGCTTTGTGGCTGTTTTAAGTCAGGCCTGGTTATTAGAAACCCCTTTCCTCCATGTGTTGTCTTCCTGAATATATCCTCTGAATGGTGGCTGCAGTACGCACACTTGTGCAGACACAGGGTGATGAGGGGTGCAGGTTCGCACTGGTTCTTGCTAGAAGCTAGATGACTGGGAGCGGGACGAGCTTGGGGTGATACGTTATGAAGGCCGGTACCCTTGATGTGATTTGTTTTCTTCTTTGGCCTGACTGTCTCCTTATCCTGTTTCTGCCGAAGGCGTTACAGAACCTGACCTATGAAACGTTTGCAGCAATTGGGAAAGACTTGGTCAGCTGTGTCCTGTTGCTCATGAATTTACCACATTCAGGCCTAAAACTGGTTGGGTTTCCTGTCCCTGCTACTTCCATTGGAAGGCTGCTCCAGAATCAGTCAGTTCTGATTAAAAACATTGTTTCTAGCCTAAATTTAGAGATGGCTAGTATTCATTTAAGCTGAAGGGCAGTGTATATATATCTCTTAATATTTACTTCCTTTTATGTATTTATGTGACAGGCATATTCCCCTGTCTTGATTTTATTTGGTTAAACAAGCCAATCTCTTTAGTCTTCTCTCATAAAATAAGGCTTCTTTTCCTTTCCTCATCTTTGCAGCTATTTTCTGCAGCTCTTCCAGTGTGAGTTCATTTTTCTTGAGTTTGCATGGCCAGAGCTATACAAAATATTCTGGATGAGTTTTTACCGGAGCCTTGAATAAAGGCATTAAAACTTCCTATTCTGTGATATAAATAACCTTGTCTGATATATCCTACAATTGTTTGCTTTTCCATTTCTGCCTTACTTTGGCTCAGACATCTTGTGATCAGCTGAAGTAACCAGGTCTGGTTTGGTCTGTTTGTGGTTGTTTGTTTGTTTTGGGGTTTTTTTTGGTCCTGTTTCCAACTGATGAGATTCCAAATGAGAACATTAGCTGAAGCACACAACCTTTGATTTTTGCATTACTGATCTTGGTCTCTATTTTAATTCTGTTAGTCCAGTCTTTAAAGTTGTTCCGTTCTTCTTGTATGAAAATCTAAGCCTCCCATCATTGTCTGAGTGATGACACAGATAATCAAAGGGAGGACAGCAGCACTACACCCGTAGCACCTTTGTCAGGATTTAGGACAGTAGATATTGCAGTATGTGTGACTCTCCACTCTTATTGCCCAGGAGATGGCAACCTGCAGCAGATCAGGAAAGCTGACACTGTGCTTGACCGTGAAAGGAGAATCATACAAAGGTGGGCATTTATGCAGTGATTGCCTGCATCCTGGATTCAGGAACTTACAATGACCTGATCTGATGGGGAAACTGTTGTAGAAAGCCACAGTTAGCCGGCATCTGACATCTCCCAAGTCTGTGAGAAAGGCTTTTTGACTGTGAGCTAGAAATGAGAGGCAGTGGCAGCATTCTTTCTGGTAGCCTGGTTGCAGAAAGGAGAGATCTGGGCATTGAATGGCTCCCCGGAAATGCTAAGCAGTGGCACTTAGATCTAAATATTAAATACAGGCACAAAGCAAGC